GCATTGAATATTTTGCTCATAAAACTTTCAAAACCTTTTGCTCAGAAGAAACCCCTTGCTCAGATAAAGGTAGATTTAGAATCAGTGTTTCACACTCTTCAAGCCAGTGTACATCTCATAAAGAAAGGCCATTTCGAGTAAGCTTCCTTCCCTTGCAATTTCCAAGGCCAGAAATAATGTGGAAGAAATGCTCTCAGCTTAAAGCCTTAATTTCTTATACTGAAAGTATTACAGGTCCCGAGCACTGAGTCCCACCCCGTACGTCCAGAACACGTTTTCGAAGATGACGAGAACGATGACGATGAGGACGAAGAGGATGAGCTACCAGTACCCACACATACAAAGCACCATGAAGTTGTTGCGCTCAACAAACAAAGGTATTTACCGTTGAAACGGGGTCTATATGAGATAAAGCTTATTATGAAGTCATAGCAGGGGTTCCGGACGAGATGCTTATAAACGTCAAGCGATAACGAATCGTGACGATCACAAGAACCGAGAAGCGCTGGATCGAGCGGACAGTCTCGTGGAAAAGGTGAAAATCAAGCGTTTCAAGAAGAACAGAAAATCCGATTCGCTATAACAATGCAAAGACATAAGCGGTTAATTATTTATGGCTAAAATATTGTTGCAAAAAGTACATCTAACATGTGTACTCAAAGCATGGGCGCAGACAATGCAGAAGAACGCGGTCGAAGCCGCGACGCGTCGCATATGCTTCATATTCTGCGAAAAGTCTGCCACACCAGCTCACCATTTTTTCGAGAATTAGATCCAAAAGATTGATGCCTCTTACTTTTGAAGAATACTGAAGATGGATAGTTGAATTTTAGTGAAGCCGTAGCTAGCAGAAAACCTTTCTTTTTGAAAAATTGTCCTAGCGCGCAATTGTGTATTGTCTGGCGGCGAATTGAATTTTCTTCACCACCTCGCTTTCTCATCTCTGCTCTTCGCTCATTTCTTGTCCAAAAGCTATACAGTACTGCTTTTTCTATGTTTCGTTTTCGTTCACTAACTACGTCCTACGCTACAAATGAGTGACCTGGGTTGGATTGCTGACTGTTCAGCTATTTCAAATTATACAACGTCAACGGGTGAATAATAATCTAGATTTTGATTGAAAATCGCCATTTTTTTCTGTCGATTGTCGACTGTTGTACATGCCTTTGTTTAACGTGATCAATTTATGCTCAAATTATCGTTTGAGGTGATCTAATAAAGTATTTTGTTGCTTGCTTTGTGTGGATTACAATAACGAT